TCTCGTACTTTAGAAATGTTGGCCAATTCTTTAGTCGCCCAGATGTGCTTTGAGTGTGAATACTGTGGCTTGTTTGAAGATTACCATACTCCTTCTGAACTTCTTGCTCTACAAACGAACGTACTTGGGAAACCAGGACCTTGTTGAGTGCAATTCCAAAGACTAACCATCTTTTCTGGTTGTCAGTAACGTTCTGTAGTGTAGACCTACATGTGCACGTATCAAGAATTAAAATCATTTTATAAACAATACTGTAATTTTCAGTTTATCATACATGCTTGGTGAAATATTACTTAGTTGTCGGTTGTAAACATTCCCCTTACAGCTGGAGGCAAAGTGTACATGTATACGAATGTTTGTATAACAACCTAATCCCATGAAATCAGGAGTAATTTAATTTAAAACATTAAAAATGTTTAATATTACATAATTGTCAAAATAAAAATTTTAATCTATACAGTCGAAACTCTTCACAGTGGCCACCTTGAGGACAGAGTCGTGACTGTTGCCGAGAGGTGGCCGTTATGGTAAGGAGAGGTGTAAATAATATGACAACTGTTTTTTTTTCGAGGACGCGACATATTTTGCTTTTTGCCAATAACTACGTGACAAAAACAAAATATATCAGTAAAACAAAAACCAAACAGAAACCGAGACCAACGACGTGTGTATGGTACGGATTAAGTTTCGTGACCTTTTGTATACACTGTTCATCAGTCATTGATTTTAACGTTAAAACGCTGAATATAAATACCATTAATATGTATCTAGACATGACAACCACTTATTAGTTTCACAGCTGGGTTCAGGCAAAAGTCACAGCCCAATTTTAGTCGATTGAGCAACTTTTAGCAAAGTCATTTAAGACTATAGCAAGCCAATAAAATTTCACTACGTATTTTAGAGTCAAATAATTGTAGTATTGCTTAATACCTAGTATGTAACCTAGTTTAGGATCTAGCGTACATCAGTATCATTCTTGCAATAGCACAATAGCTTTCTATTATTCGCGCTTTTTCAAGTTACCAGCATTAGCTTTCCCGCCCACCCACTTCCATGGCAGTAATGATTTTCGTTGTATTTATAATCTTTGTAATTTATGTATTTATAATTATCTTGTACAGGCTCTCGATGGGCCTCTAGTTTTATAGTAGTTTATTCGAAGATTGTAATCAGCAGAATCATTTTCCGTGTTGCTTGTACGTGTAGGATTAAAATAAACTGCCTGATCCCAAACACGTGGTTCGAGAGTGAGTTTCTGTGTTTAGTGGCTGTTGCCGAGGCTATTTTGACAGTTCGGGCGTGCTCCAAATTAGTACTTCTTAAATTAGTACAGGTAATCGTACGAATCGAATGCAAGTGCAATTAAGATTTACACTAGGAGTGATATTTGAAAATTTTCTAAAAATTGCACCAGCCTTCACCTATTTATCATATGACTGAGAAAACTACAAACAAGTGTGCTAATTTGCACTACAAATGCAAATTAAAAATTAACCACAAATTGGCCTGCTCTCAGAGGTGAATGCTATTTTGCCGCAGCTTTACACTTCAAAGAATCAGCTTTACCTTAATAGTAGGTAAAACATACTACCCTTATATGGGCCTTGAGTGACTAGAAAAACACAAGAGCTCTGCAAACTCAACTCACCCTGTAGCTGCAGCAGCTGTCATTGTTAAATTCCCTTACATGGTACAGCAACAAACGTGACTCAGTTTGTGTTAACTCATCTCCTCATTGCAGTCTTGGAACTAATAAATAAATGTAATAGCTATGTGTTAAAATAAAATATCTGAAAAATAAACATACATAATCCCACATTCAAAGACCCCTCTGAAACATTGCACAGTACAGCAATAAACCACTGACAGTATTATCACGTTTCTCGAAAATGTACGTGGATAACAATTATACCTTGTCATCATATCAGTCTACATGTTAACATCACTACAAAGTCACATGAGATGCCAATGTGTGTTGTTGGTCAGTACTTTGCATTTTGAGAGTGTGAAACTGACTCTTCAATTTATGCATCTTCTCTTAGCATAAAGAACATATTTTTATTTTCTAAGTCAGTTGATGGAAATAGCCAGTCAGACATAAAAAGGATTTAACAACAACAAACTGCCTTCCTAATTTTAAAAAGGCTTTTTAAAAGCAAAATAATATTATTTGTCAAATCTTATTCATGAGCAGTACAACTTAAATACATTTTAGACATCGAAAAAGTACTTTTGGTTTACGGATCACAAAGTTTTTAATTATATTATGGCTGTCTTTCCTCAGTTGGTTGGGACAGAACAAAGCAAACCTGGCAAAAATTGACAAAAAAATTAAGTTGAAGCAGCTATCTTAACCTTTTCTTTTTTGCCAGGGAAACAGAAAAGCAGGTATGGAAGCATGGAAGCAGAGAAAAAGGGAAACAAATGACCAAGCAAGCAAGCAAGGAATCAAGGAAGCGGGGGAAGTGGGGAAGTGGGGAAGTGGGGAAGTGGGAAAGTGGGGAAGTGGGGAAGTGGGGAAGCGGGGAAGCCGGAAAGTGGGGAAGTGGGGAAGTGGGAAAGCAGGGAAGTGGAAAGAAGGAGAAGCAGGGAAGCAGGGAGTGGGGAAATGGGAAAGCAAGAAGCAGGGAAGTAACCAAGGAAGCAAGGAAGCAAGGAAGTGGGGAGATCAGGGAAGCAGGGAAGCAGGGAAGAGGGAAAGCACAGAAGTGGGGAATTGGGGAAGCAGGGAAGAGGGGAAGCGAGGAAGCAGGGAAGTGGAGAATTGGGGAAGCAAGGAAGTGGGCAAGTAGGGAAGTGGGGAATTGGGGAAGTAGGGAAGCAGGGAAGCAGGATAGCAGGGAAGTGGGTAATTTGGGGAAGCTGTGGAGCAGGGAAGCAAGGAAGCAGGAAAGCAAGGACGCAGGAAAGCAGGGAACCGGGAAAGCAGGAAAGCAGAGAAGCAAGGAAGTGGGAAAGCAGGGAAGGAAGGAGGCGGGGAAGTAGGGAAGCGGGAAAGCAAGAAAGCAGGGCAGTGGGGAAGCAAGGAAACAGGGAAGCAGGGAAGCAAGGAAATGGAAAAGCAGGAAAGTAAGGAAGCAGGCAAGCAAAGAAGCAGGAAAGTAAGGAAGCAGGAGAGCAGGGAAGCGGGGAAGGGGGGAGATCAGAAAAGCAAGGAAGCATGGAAGCGGGAAAGTAGGGAAGTGGGAAATTGGGAAAGCAGGGAAGCAGGGAAGCAGGGAGGCAAGAAAGCGGGGAAGCAGGGGAATGGGGAATTGGGGAAGCAAGGAACTAGGGAAGCAGGGAAGCAGGGAAGACATGTTCATCCCTTTCCAATGAGGTGCCGTGGGGTCTCCAAGGATGATGGCTATCTGTCTGAAGGAAATCATAAAAGCTTTCTCTTGCTCAGGTATGGTCAGTTACCAGAGCAAAAGACTAAGAAAAATGTACAGTTTGGAAAAGGGCAGAGGGGAAAGCAAACCTGGAAATAATGGTCAGTCATCGGACAATTGTCTGGTAAATTTGAGGTTTTGACAGGTAAAAGCTCGGCCTGGTCAGACATGCTGTCTGAGCATTTCTACTACAATGAAAAATATTTTAACTGGAAATTTGTGGCCGAACATGGAAGAAGTTATTTTATTATACTGCCACAAAATACTATGCAAAAAACCTTTCTTATCAGTTTCGTTTTTATTCCATTTCTGAGAAATTATTTTATCATGTGCAGTGCATCGTCCTAAATATCATGTCGAACACTAAACACCCTACCTCAGCACCATGCACTATTCCGCCGTGTTGATTTACACCTTTTGAGATGGGGTCGTGAAAGATCGTGAAGCCCCATTTAATCCGATTCGTCTCAAAAACTACTAAAATCTGAGGTCTTATGTTATTACTCCTTGTTTGTTATCTGCAAGTTTCGTGGAATTAATTTTCTGCCATAATTTGACCCGATTAAAATATTATGCAAATTGAATGCAATCGCTCTGAAAAACTTTAAAACTTCTAAAACGTAACTTAATGTTTTTCCAGTCCATATGATCAAAAATCAGTTTTATTAAGCTTTCAGTATTTTTTTCTATCTGTGGTTCAAATATAGTTTCAGACTACCACAGACATGTTTTTATGAAAAGTGTAAACATACAAATTAGTGACGCTTTGTGGTCACGACTACTTCCAATAATCCAACTCCAATTTCTTCTAATTATGCAAATTTTTTTTTTAATAGCCCTTTTCACGGTTAATTTTTCTCATTTGCAGTACAATGTAATCCAACGTGGATGCAAGGCAATTTCAAGCTGAAACTACAAAATAGCCCGAAATTGCCTCACATACACGCTAGATTTTATTTTAATGCAAATGAGCAAAGGTAACCGTGAAAAGGGCTATTGAGCCTGAAAATTTTCAGGGAAACTTGCTTTGAATAAAAGCTGAAGAATTCTTTTCTGCCAATTTTCAAGTCTTTGAATATTATTGTGAGTTCTTATACTGACAAGCTATCTACATGGGAGATTTTATAATTATTGTTCCATCACTTTTTCTGTAGTTTAAATATTTAAATGTCTCTAATTTTTAATTTCTTTTTTGTCAGGTCAAACCTTGCCCTGGCGTGACAAACGACCTGCTAATATAGACAAAAATTATTTGCAGGCTTGGAAAGGAACAAATGGACACCTGACTAAGTCCAGCTGGGTATCAAGGAGTCTCGAATAATGCAGCTTAAATAAAGATGTAAGTTTTTGAGCTCTTAAGTTTAAATCTGCTCCTTTGTAAATGTGAAGCTTAAGACTAGTCTGCGAGCCGGGCAAAGACAATAAGTGACAACAAGAATCAAGATACTGTACTAGATTTTACACTTGGTAAGGAGATAAGTCATGTCACAAGCATTAATAAGCAAGGGACATTCAAAGCTACAAGTCCCAAAATCCAGTTTGGGAGGATTCCAAACAGAACATTATTTCCTTTCAGGACACTGAGATTTTACCTTTGTCCCACACTAGTTACATGATAGACTCTATATATATCTTTCTTGACAAGAATGTTGTTACCAGCAAAACAAGTTGTTATCTTAATCTATTAGGAGACACTTATAACTCTTCGGAAGCCAAATGCCATGATCTTACATGTGTGGATATCTTAGCATTAAGCTCTAATGCGCAAATCATATGATGATCAGAGTTACGTGAAATGTAAAATCATGTTAGAACTTTTGTCTACATATATAATATGTTAAAAGCAACTGAGGTGACTCTCTATGCTTTTATAGAGATGAACAAGGGAGGGTAGCAAAGGGTTTATGTGTGACATGTGATGAGGGCAAAATTATCATGGGATGCATGAAAAGCATTTAAATTAGATGGACGTGATTCATGAATTTGTGGAAAGCTTTTTGCTAGCAGTGGTTTAAAGTATCAGTGATGCACAAATTTTGTTAAAATTTTTGCAAGAAATGGCATCACAATGCTCCCTTTGCTACCCTCAACTGAAGAATTCCAAATTATTGTAGTCAATTGATAAACCGATAATTGTAGGTATCACTCAATAACAATCAATATCGAACAAAGATTGATATCAATTGTAATTGATGAAAATCAAAGCAAAAAAGTTGGGAGTTTGATTGTTATCTTCATAGCCTGTGTATCTTTTACAATCACCCTGATCAACATAACAACAACAGAAACAACTAAGAGAAACATTTTGGACTTAACATCTTTCTTTCCTAATTTGCCACACAGTGACAGGCAGAAATACCTCAGCCCAGAGTAGTGCGTAAATCCTACAGTCTCACTGCATATATCAGCATTTAGATGAAGCAAAATAAACACGGTCAGTGTACTAGTGATTTCAGTTATTTGCTTTCTTTTTTCAATTGATGACAATGGATATTCCTGAAGATCAGAATTATCGACTGCTAGCGATTTTTGTCAATTGATAGGAATTGAGAAAAAAAAGTTCTGTCAGTTTGATTGTTATCGATTAAGTACGCCTGTAGCATGCCATTCCATTCTTTAAAAACATTGATTGATAGCTGAGGACTCATCAGCATGTCATCAGTATCATCACGCTCTATGAAAACTTTTTCTGTGAAAGACAGCAAGGTAATGTTGTAACTATTAACTTCCTTGGCCCGATTTGTTTTGAATAAAGGAGGCCCCACATTATTACATTACATACTAGCTGGGCTGTCCCCTATAACGAGTAGGCAAACCAGCAAGTGAGCCATGCGATCCTAACGGGCTCAAAAGCTAACCGCATGCTAACAACTTTTTGAGGGGAGTTGAGGGGCTATTCAGGCTAACCAGGTTCTATTTAGGCTAACCAGACTGTTATTTTATAGGCTAACCGGAATGGCTTCCATGTTAACTCGCATGGTGTAGCTTCGTTTGTCGGAAATGCGCTCATAGTTTACTATACAAACGTTTTTGGCTTACCATTCAACGAAGCAATATCTCTTCAGCTGACCTTTCAGAGCTTTTCCTTCTAATGTTCAAGTGTGCAGTTACGGAAAATATGCCAAAACAAACAGAATTCGAACGAGGCCAACACAAGGTAGTACATAAGCAAAGAGAAAGCACTGTAATGGTTTTTAATGGAGGTTTCCGGGTACAGATCCAGTTCCCAGGCTCCGTCAGTCATTTCGCGTGACGGTATCAACGAGTCACGTGCACATGTAACACACTTTAGCTACGTGACACATGCGTGGATTGTATCATCATGGCGCATCATGGTCTCTAGTGTACAGGGAAACCAAAGGGGAATGGACATCTGTGAGAACGGAGGAAATTTTCCGCGTAAGAATTACAGCATAATTATTTGTCTTCGGCCATACGGACCCTCAGTTAGTTTAAATACGACTTCATGCAAATAATTTGCAGACAAAACCGAATGACTTCTTCATCGTCGCTACCCAATCGCAAATTAGGGGGAAAACATTTCTTCGTTAGTCTTTTTACTCAAAGTGTATAAGTAATGGCAGCGAACTTGCAGATTATGTGAAGAGCTGCAGGCTAAGGAATCTTTAGGAAATATTATCTGAAAATRAATAGCTGGTTTTCATTTGACGTCACTAAAAGTCAAACTACAAAACTATTGATCTTCCTGAGATTTTACTTGAATGATATGTAAGAGCAGCTGAAAACTAATATTCGTACAAATTTTCCCTCCGAATGGGTTCTTGGTTTTGTGATACACTACGCTTGAATTTCTAAGCTTTTGCGTGACGGAGCATTTACATGACGACCTAGAAAGCTGTTATGATGGTTCAAAAAGTGACTCAGTATTTCGGGGAATTTGGCTCTCTGAACAGTTCACGTCCTAGAAAAAGTATTATTTTAATGTTTTAGAGTTCCTCGAGGGATAAGTTCCAGCTTTTGTAGCAAAACTCAGTGAGAGATGTTTCTGTTGGTTTCCGGCCGCCATGTTGGTGCCCATACGGATGGGCATCAGCATGGCGTCTCCATACAAATCTCTGCAAACTTGGGTAAAAAATTTCTCCGCATATCTTGCGTAAGAAAAATTGTTGTGACCAGAATCTTGGCGAGAGTCTTCGCATATTTACCTCCTTTCATTTCCCAGATTCTGGACTTAATGTATTGAACGGTTTTGATTTTGATTTTGATCGATTTTGAATGGCGTGACACTGAAAACCATCTTCCGGCACAGTTGAAACAGTTTCCGGCACTTTCCAAGACGTAGATTTGATGGCTGAGTTGATGCCACAATCATGGTATGAAAAAACTACCCAGTCATTAGTGAACACGTTGATATCATTTTCGTGACACAATAAGCTTCCATAGAAACAGTATGTTCTGCTAAAAACACCCTTGATTTTAGTTTTAAGTTCTTATACTTAAAAAACAGCACGGTGAAACCCTTCTTATTATCGAATTATGATAGGCAAAGTTTTAAAACGTTCTGTACTGGGATTCAGAGCCACATTAAATTTTGGAAAATTTATCATAAGTACTTCTCTCCCGCGTGGGATGAGCTTGTCGCGCCTCGCGTGGGACAAGCTGGTGGCGCCTCGCGCGGGACGAGCTGGTCGCGTCTCGTGCGGGATGATTTTACTAGCCTCTGGGCTTCGTGTTAATAGATAGAAACCTTTTTAAATGCGAGAGATATTTCATCACTTGTTCTTACGGAAAACATTGCTTTCAGCAGCTGCTATAGTCTGGGCATTGTTT